ATGTGTCATTACCTAGTCTTTTCTTTTTTTTTTTTTTTTTTTTTTTTTTTAACCCCTTTTCCTATTTTCTCTTTATAAATCGATAGTTGATTTAATGGTCGCCCCAGCGTTAACAGCTGGAAATTTGAATAATTTCATGTTTTCATAACGGTTGATGCGGCAATTCGTATTTATTTAAACCGATAAAACAAGTATCGATTTAACGCGATCGTATAATTTAATTTATCGATCTGTTTATTAATATCAAAGTAAAATAGGATTATAAAATACGATATTTATTTATAGATTTTAATGATTTTTCTAGACATAATTTTAGTTAATGATAATAATTTATTATTTACTTAAAAATTATTTATTTAGAAATTTATTCCACTTTTTTTCCTATCAAAATTTATCAAATATAATAACACATTTACTACAATAATAATTTCCATATATGCACCATGTGTTTTGGCTTATTTTACTATCATTTGAAAGATAATAAAACGAAAAATCAATATATTTATTTATATGTCAACTTTTAGAAAATGAGAAAACTTGTAAAACTTTAAAAAAAAAAACTGTTTTTCAAAATAAAAAAGGTTTCAATCACGTGATAAAGTTATAATGATACAAAAATCAATTTTTGATAAAAATTTAAGATTAATTGTGGATGATTTTATAATATCGCACAAATAAAAATTATTATCGATCAAAGATTTCATAGAAGCATATTTGTTTTTCGCGCGTAAAAACAACCACAGATCGAGAACTTTCTGCACTGAATTAGCTACCGTTTTTAACGCGTCTATCAGCAATCTCTCGGCGAGAAGATATGAGCCGCCTATATTGAACAAATGAAAGCGAGGGAGGGCACGACGAGAAGTATTCGACTCAATCGGTCAGTTTTCTTGGCTCGAGAATTTGACACGTGCCAGCGTGAGCTTGACAGTAGTACGAATGAGCCACTCGCCGATGGCGGATCATCCATTGGACAGATTTGATTTAAGTCAGCTTTAAGGCTTGGCATCCTTCCAACACTGTTGACTCAATAGAATGCCGGTAAGTGACAAACTTTTTGTTTCGTGAAATTGAAAATTCCCTAGTGGTAAACGTATAAGGTATAATATGTATAGATATTTTAAATATAATTTAATTATATAAATCTGTGAAGATATGTTTCTTCACGTTTTATCGATTCGTTTATAATATAATGATTGCGATGCATTGTTGTGCAGATTTTTCTAGCGATTTTTGCGTACTCGATTCGTTTCAAATGAAATATTTTTAAAAAATTATTATTAATTGCAATATTTATTACATATCGACCGGTTGTCTCAGATAATTGACACTCTTGAGAATATTTTAATTAATAATTTGTCGTACGTTGGGCATTTTTTAGGCATACTTCAGATAAAATTTTATACTGCGTCCCCACAATAATATGGTTAAGAATCGATCCACAAGAAGGATCTGTCTTAGTCGTTTTGAATTCAAAAAACAAGGAAAGAGATACGATGCGTTGTCACGTGCGAATTGCTAAATTTACAATGATAAATTTGGCCAAAATTCTAGCTGAAACAAATGATTTTTTTTTGTTAATTCTAAAAGTCTACATATATATTGTATTTTGTTTGTTATTTTTAACTAATATTTCATTGCACAATCTTTTTAGAGATATGAAATTTCAAAGTTGGCAGTTTCATAATGCAAAATTTCTAAGTTAGACAATTTTCGACTTGATATAAAATTATTCTTTTCTCTCATTGTTGATAACTATTAAGTTGATAAGATTAAGCCGCAATCTTTTTTTTTTTAAATAAGACTCGAAGGTTTCTGAAGATTATTCTGCGATAAATTGCAATGTTATGAGCTATTGTTATTTATTTCCCGTCTTCTGTTCTATTATCATTCTTCATTTAATAATAATGCAGACTAGATCTTTTAAAAATAAATATAAAAATATTTTCGAACGATGATTTAAACGAAAGAAAAGTTTCATTTTTTATTTGGTTGAACAAGAATTAATATTATAAATATTGTTGTTATTTTTGTTTAAAACAAACTTTGAAATATCTGAACAAATAACACAAGAAATAGTACAAATTCCTTAGAATATTATAATATAGTATTTAAAAGTAACTGAATTATATAAATTTAGAGAAAATGTCATCAAGCTGTGTTTTGAGCTCGTTTGAATAATTTTTCTCTAGTATAGTAAAATAGTGATATGAATGTTAAAATTATCCACAGAACACTATAGTAAAACTTTATTCTGTTCGTGTGAAACTATTTTACAATGATGAAACTGTTAAATTTATTCTTTTATGACAATCCCTATAATGTTTGAAACTGAAAACATACCCTGTTGATGTCTAAAATAATGCGGTGTAGTAAACTACTGCAGTGTCACGTCGACGCACCTTCGTAGACGTTATTTAATCCAAGTAGTCTGGCACGTGCAACAGGAATCCTTTTGGCGCCGGAAACGTAAAAGTTGTAAGTCGACCTGCTACGTTATCTCTGATACTCGTAGATTAGCAATGTGAAAAGTTAATTCTATTAGTATAGCACCGTAAAATATGTTTTGAAAGATCAATTGGATGGATGCAAAGATCTAATTTAATATTTTTATTTGAATCAAATGACTATTGAATCAAATGTGGATTTATTTTTTTTTTGTCGTTTTAATTTTACTGTATTATCATTAATAATTACATCTTCTAATCTAAAATTGTAGTATATATTGTACAATTTAGAAAATGTAGATAGATATTTTTTGTTTTTTCCTTTATCTTTTTTTTCTTCCTTTATAAACTTGATTCATTGATTGGTCTGAAATATATGGTCATTTACCAATGACCTAAATATCCTTTTTCAGTCACAATCATTACTAAGGCTTGTAGAACTATTCATCTTTTGGAATTTCATGAGTTATCTTGAATTCCCTGTAGAAATATCATTAAATAAGAAACATTCAATGATCATTATTTTATTAATCTTCATTTATTCATTCATATTGATTATGGTATTTTTTTTTTATTTATTTCTAGGATAATAAATTTAATATTCTTAATTATTCAACATTTCAGCAAATACCAAAAATTATAATAATTCTTTATAGGTTTATAATTTTCTTTGAAATTTTCAATCTTATAATATATCCACAATATATGATTAAAATATAATATTTTTTCAATATTATTCTAAACTCAATTTTATATATTAATATATTTTATTTTTCTATAATAATAGATCTTTAATAAAATTATATATATATATTTATTTTATTATTTATTTATTTATATGAATATAAAAATATTCATATTTTATGTTTTGTGAAAAAAATATGAATATTTTTGCAAATGACGCAAAACATTTGTATTTTTTTTTTTTTTTATAAAACATGAATATTAATATAAATATAAATATATTTAGGATAATTTTATATTAAACACGTTTTTGTTGAAAACAAATATGTATAGTAAAAATAGAATATATTAATTTAATATTATGAATAAAGTAATATTATGAATATTATATTGTGAATATAAAAAAATATTATTTAATTAAATATGTGGATTTGTATATTTACAATCAGCGAAAAATGACGATCCTTCATACAGTTAATTCACATACATACCTATATACCACGCGTATGCTCGGTCATGCATATAAGTTGTGCATAGCGTAGGTATGCTTATCAGCGCAAAGCAATGGTGGGATCGGCCGAAAGGCTTGGTCAATACAAATGCATCGCATTACGCGTGCACTGACTTGAGCCGCAGCCGCAAGGTCGGCATTTCTGACGTGCACATGACATCACGTAGGCGTGAACGATGGAATATATCGTCTCCTCGTATAATATACTATCGACGCATTCATCTATTTACCGCCTCGTACGATTGCTCTATCCCTTCTTCATACGTGGTTCGATTTGTATTTGTAAGATTGTATTTGTATTTGTAAGATGATCCACCTTCGCTTCACTAGATGTCGCTGGGCCCTTCGAAACAGCCGCCATTATACGTCATTTTCCATTCGTAAGCGGATTGTTGTTAGTGTAACGTTGCTAGATCTGAAAAGAGTTTCGATTGTTGCTTGGAATAGAATACAGAAATGCAAATCATAAGTGTTAAGGTTCGGCTTGTTCGAAGAATGTAAATTGACGTTCTTCAATCGTTGGACTAAAGGACGAAGCACAATTGACGTCTCCAAAGCCTGATTGACGCTGCCACTCTGCCAATGGTACGATTTTAATGTGTTCGAATATTAATCGATGACATTCGAACGAAATAAGGTTTGATTCATAATGATTCTTTGTGGTTTGATCGATTACTCAGTACTGTATAAATGGAAATAAATTCTGATTTATGAATGATGCTCTCTCTTATGTTTTATACATGATCTAGTATACATATATATTCATATATTCTTTTAGTAGTATATTTTAATTTTTTAATCTTTTACTATATTTGTTTAAATTAAACTATTATTGACTTATAATTTTGTTTACAATTCTTTAAACAATATTTATATATAATATAATTTTTTCCATATCACGTAATTTCTTCATTCTTTCAAGCATATCTAATACACGTTGTGTAATGAGTATCGATTTTTGTTAATTACATACTTTGTTTCTGAAATAATGTACTAAAAGTATAACAGCCGCAACTTTTCTCGTTCGTTTGCTTAATCGTTTGCATAACAAGCGATAATAATCGCTGCGCAAGAAATTAACAGTGGCTGCGCACGTGTCCAAAAATATAACGTAGCAGAGATAACGTCATAAGAGTAATCACGCCGGTAACCCTGTGCTCGTTTATTTCCATCAATTTCATACGACCATGAGGTCATCCTTGCAATGGGGGTTCACATACCACTTATTCCCTTAAGTCACTCAATAATATGACTGGTATTTTTACTAACCGATCTCGCACAGTAATTCTTCGTTACTGCATTCATTCGTTGATGGATGTTGCGACAAGAACACGACGTCCATCGTCATTTGCTGTGCTTAAACGTCGAAGAAATTGACAGGATGGAGGGGAGAAGTAACGATCCTTTCGTCTTTCTAATTTTTTACATGCGCACGCGCACGCGCGTGCGCATACGATCTCTGTAAAGAAAGAGAAACGTGTGACGGTTAAATGCTTTGCGATCATTCGAGTTATTTAACTGTAGCGCGACAGATGCGTGCAAAGAATAGAAGAAACAGGGTATTAAATAGTGACTTTAAAGTGTGATGAGTGACAAAATTGATTCGCGACCCAATGGGGAAGGGCCTAATGAGAAATCTCGAATCGGCGCTTTTTATGCATTTGAAAAAACAAAAGTCTGCAAATTATTTTTTTTCTCTCTTCTACTTTTCTCTTTCTGTTTCTCTGCTTTTTTATTTTCTGCGTAACGTGTTTCTTTTTCTGTCTCACTTGCAATATAGTCGCGTGAATGACCGAATGCCATGCCGATGAATTTTTCACTGTGGATGCACGCGATGTAATAGGTCATAATTAAATCTCGACTTGGCCCTCGTAGAGAATTCTATATAAATTAATTTATTATAAACTTAAATTCTCTAAGGTTACAAAAACGAAACTTGATTTTTTTTTAATTTTTTTTTCTATTAATGAAGATTTAAGATGTATTGATAAAAATATATCGTTACAAACAATTTTTTCTATATTTTTTGAGAAATTTATACTTTTTACAATTGAAACAATCAATTTATATATAATTATTTACATTTTATTTAAATATTCAAATTATAGTTTCATAGTAATGATTATATTTTCTTGCAATTCTTTTTTTTTTTTTTTAAATTCGAAGAATAAATATATACATATATTTGATATCTTAGTAAAAGCATACTTTTACTAAATTTATTAAAAATCAATTACAGTTCATTGTTAGTATTTAATGGGATAATTTAATAAGTAATAGTAATAACTTTTATATTAGAATGCCAATTGATGAAACAAGCATTAATATATCAATTGACTGAGTAATTTTCGAGTAATTCATGAAACAGGATTCATGTTTGCAAGAAATCACGAAGAATTCTCGATCGCACGTTTGATTTGTACATCTGGCAGGCCTTTCTGTTGTTTCGTTTTGTACTCTTCGCCGTGCTATTTATTCCTTCCGCTGTCCGGTTAGCTTTTTCTTCCTTAGACCTTGTTTTTGTTCTCTCCATTAATTGAATCGCTCAATTTTAAGCGCAATTGGCATTTATAAAACGAGTCATATTTGAAACATTTATAATATCTGTTAATCCAAAAATTATTTTCATTCATTATAATCAGTTTTCTATATATTATATGTAATCAGTTTATAAATTCTTTGTTATTCGTTATTAACATTCGTTATTCATTTTATAAATTGCACATATTCCAGTTTCATGTGAATATGTTCATTTGAAAATTGTTTTATTATATATAATTTTATGTACGTATTTTATTTTACATAATTCTAATTATATTTAGTTTGTTTTATTGCGAAATATAATATTAAACGTAATATAATATTTTTTAATTATTTTTATATTTTATGATTGAAAAGATATTCCGCGAGACAATACAGGAGCAAAGTTTTCTTTGCTCATCGATATATAGTACATCTTATATAACATTTTTGATTACGATACATTATTTTTATGAATGTATTGAATTCAAATCAAATTCAATCAAAACTGCATTTCTTCCAGAGAATTTCTTGTCAGTCACAAATTATATATTCTTAAGAAAAAAAGTTAATGTTCCTTTTTTGATTCGTATATAATATAAATTACTATAAGAAGTATATATGAAGTTGTATGAATTATAAAATAAAATAATTTTTAAATCAGCCAACCAGTATAAGCATTTCGGAAATGTAACCATAATATTGCATCCATTGAAAGGGATAATAGGAATAACTAGTAACAATTGACATACATATAATTTGTGTATACGAAGTGTGTATAAGATGTGTTAACGGTTTAATAGAATTCGTCGTTGAACAAGAATGAAATCAGAAATAATCAGAAATTTAATGTCTATTAAACTATTACTCATTTTTATTCAAGAATATTCCATAAAATTTTACATTTATATCATAACGAATAGCATCCTAAAAAAAAAGGCTCAGTCAAAAAAAATTCTGAACTTTTTTCCTGCGCCGCCGCATTCTCCAAATCTTATCGTTTATAATGATCGGCCGACCGCTGGAAATAGTTCCACGATGTAGCATGGCATTCGTTCTGTTCTCCCCTACTTTATCCTTTTTCTTCTTCTACTCTATAGCAAGCTCTAAAGCGAATTCCGTGGACATACGTTAGTGTCTGCCGAGTATTCCAGAACAGAGTGTCGGCGCCTAGAAGCCACAGCATTTATCCATTGGGTCCTACAAACATGTCTCCGGGTGCGTGCATTATATGAAAGGTGCGATATACATAGCACGTACGACAAGTGGTAGGGGTAGTGCAGTGGCCCGTGCCGCCTGAAATACACGGACAACCGACTCTCTGGCACTCGACTCCATTCTGAGTGTGGTAGCACACCGAAGAACTCTCCTCAACACCCGCACCCCCTTCCTCTTCCTGTTTCGGCCGTTTGCTCTTCAAACGCATCTTCTTGCTGCTCGTGGCTCCTTTACTCTTCCTCCTTCCTTCTCTTCTTTCCTTCTCACTTCTATCTCTTCCTATCTTCGAGTGCTCTTTACACTCTTTAAGAGCATTCGTGGTTTTCTCTGGTTCACCATTCCGATACATCATCGTTTTCTATCACGTTTTCCTTCGTTCCACGGAACTGTTGCCAGCGAAACGGTAAATTACGCGAGCGACATTATCGTTGTTTTTTGTCGCCCTCTCGCGGTCGTTTCGTTTCCCCCAGTTTTTTTCCTACCATCCTCCACTCTTAAAAACATTACGCAGTGTGCATTCTCGTCGTGAGAGACACCCAACGTAAGTTTTCGGCGAAACGTAAGAGACCCTTGACGAATGGTTTCAACGCTTTCTTACCGCGTCGTCGTATTTTTTACGAGACTGTTTCTGTTCGTGCATCGTCGAGTTACGTGGTGCCTCCCATTTGGCACGCATTATTCGCACGTATGATATTACACACCATGGCCTATACATTTGGTCCATCTTATTATCGCGATATAAATTTTTAATAAACGAAATATGTTTAACGTTTATTTCGAGATAATTTTTATATTTATTTTTTTTTTTTTTCAGAATCTTTTCACGTTGCGATATTACGAAAAATATATTTCAAATATAATATATTTATTAATATAATAGGATTTTTTTTTTAAAAAAAAGCTTAAGTAGCGAATTAATTAGAATTTCTTGATTTTGAATTTTGTATATATTTTAATTTATCTATAATTTTTTAATTATAGAAAACTGTGTTATCAAAAATTGAAAGCATAGCACAGATTCAGTAAACTTATATCTCAAGTTATAAAGTATATTTTATACGGTTCGAAGAGTTTATATGCTACCTAAAAATAAATATAAAAATACTGTGCACTCGTGTTCATATTGTGAAAGCAGAAGCTATCTTTCTTTTCACCCTTTCGATGATCACGATGACGAGAACGACGATAGCTTAGTTTCAAGAAATTCTTTTTTTTTTTTTTTCTCTCCACTAAAAATATTTTCAGTGCAAAGTTTTCAAGGAAGTCAGAGAAAAGTAAAAATAAATTTAAAACTTCTTCGAACGAGGACGAAAACGACAGCGTCGATATATGCGACGAGCACTAGATATTATATCGTATGTTAACGTTGGCGAAGATGTGTGCGTGCAAATATATGGAATCAATGTGATTCATGGGTGGTGGTAATGTAATGCGTAGGCGCAATGGGTAAGGTGGTTCGTTTATATTTCAAATGAATAA